TTGCATTTTTTGTTACTAGTTAATATTTTAATTTAGAATACAGATAAATTTTAGATTTATAAATTAATAATTATTTAATATTAAATAGTTGGCTTTGTTTATTTTGCTAGTACATACGCGTGCTTGGTGTCCTTTATATGATAATAATAAATCTTTTCCAAATATTTTTAAAATTTTATAAACTTTGTGATACAATAATTATAAAAGTTATTGTAATATATTTTTGATTTTTTTAAAAATGTTTTGTTAATTAAATAGAATTAACAAATATACATATAGTATTGGATGTGACATGAGTTAATCATCAAACTTAAATAATTAATGTTATTAATAAAATTTTACTATATCGTATTCTACCAAAATTAAGAACCATTTTTTGGACTCTAAAAATGGAGTGGTTCTTAGTTTCTAATATTTTCTCTCAATTCGAAATTATTATCATTAAATTTGTAGAATTTATTCATGATTTTATTAGTTTTTTTTCAAAAAAAATTGAAATGCTGTTGTGCTTATTATTTTTGGTAAGATACGGTATATGGATTTTTGATTAAAATTTTTCGTTATCCAAAACGAGAAAAATTATTATACACATGTCTTAAAACTTTAATTAAAAATAGTATGCTACCATTTTTATATTTTTTTCAATATTAAGCAGAAAAATAATTATATATACTGTTTCAGATCTTTGAATTGTCTAAATTCACCCAATTTTTCACCTACCGCCATTATTAATGATCTATTTTGTTGCCACCACAAAAACGATAAATTCGTTTTTTTTAGAGCTTATTTTGAGGAAATGGTGTTAGTAATGTATCAAAAAGCTCTGGTTGTGAGTAAATTTTGTTGATTGCCATATTTGTTACTTCTTTATTTCTTCGTTGAGAAAGCTTCATTTTCTATGAATCAGGTGATCGACAGAAAATCCGCATATCGATATACCGATACGTACATGTTCATGTACGTACTCAAGTTTGGAATCGAAAAATGATCAGCAACGTAGATCATTAATATTACTCGACTTCTCTTTAAATAAACTATAATAAAAAATATATCATTTTATTTAGCAAAGGTAGGGCTATTCATACATATATTTTAATATCGGGTCGGATACCTATTTGCATCGATCACAGCTTGCACTCTTCTCGGCATACTTTCAGCAAAATTTTTTAAAATTTCCAGTTCGATTTTTTCCCATTCCTCTGCAAGTGCATCCATCAATTCTTCTTGATTTTAATTCATCTTTCCAAAACATCCCATAAATGCTCAATTGGATTTAGATGAGGACTCTGGGCAGGCCATGGAAATGAAGTTATTAGTTTTCTCTCTTTAACCGGATTATTTCTGTGAACGGGAGCATTATCTTGAAAAAGATGAACAGAACTAGCTGGCAATTCATCTAAAAATAGTTTAAGATGCTATTCAAGTATTTTTGTACCTTCAACTTCGATTAGTGGTCCAAGTGCATTTTGAGTAAACATTACTCCCTGATTACTTGATTTCATGGGGTTGACGCCAAGCTCATTGCTGTGAATCATTTCTGAATATTAAATATCTTGATTCATCAATCTAAATTACTGATTCCTATTCACGAAGTCAATCTTTCTCTCTAGACACCATTTTAATCGTTTCTGATGGTTTTCCTCAGATATAAAAGGTTTTCTTGGTCCAACCCGACTAAAAAACCCATTTTCATGAAGATTACGATGTATGGTTTTAGAACTAACTGAAACTTCCAAAGCAGTATTGAATTTTTCGGTAATTTCGTTAATTGCTTGTCGGTTTTTTTTCAGTGCTAATTATTCTTCGGATGGCTCTAGGGTTTAATATTCGTGATCTACCACGTCAGAAAGCAACTGTAGCTCGGCCAAACTCTTTATATTTGTGTATGGACTGTGGATTTGGGTCGTCCTAGAGTTTCTTCAATTTCTTTTTCAGAAAAACCACACTTCCAAGCACCGATTATCTCGTCACGTTCAAAATCCGTAAGTTGGCAATTTCTGCGAGTGTTAGTTTGGTTGACATATTTTTTTACGTCGTTTGAAAGCTTACGATTTCAGCTTTCTAACGAGCTATTGTTCGTTATAGTCGGACTTTTGTGTGTTGCACGATTAATGATTATAGTCACAAACTTTTGTCCACCAAGTGTAGTAATTTTTGTTAATATCGATACATGAACATGTATTATGTATCTACATGCACGCAGATTCTATTGAATTTATATTGTTTACAATAGGATCTGCATGGTCGTCGACTGTATATGCCACACCCCAATATAGTATGTTACAAAATCACAATATTTCTACATATACATGTACAGTACCCCCAAAAAGTAACGCCCGATTCAAAATTAAACATAAAAATTTTTTATACACCAAACAGAAGGATCAAATTTTTCCCATTCCTTCTTTAAGTTCATCTACAGACCGCGGAAAAGCCTCATAATTTTGGACATTATCCTTTAACACCTTCCAAATATTCTCAATTGGTTTAGGTCTGGTGAATTCGCTGGCCAGTTAATAGTCGTGATTTTATTTTTTGTTAACAATTCCTGCGTTATGGATCGGTGCATTATCATGCTGAAAAGTCGCGTATTTTCCAGTTAATTCCTTAATTGTTTATAAAAAGGTAACAAGTTAGCTTTTAAGATTCTAAGATAAACATCTGAATTTATTTTTTCATTATTTTTTTGTATTCATCACAGAATACCAGTGGTCCTTTTAATCCTCCCACCCCAAGCCATTACAGATTTTCGTCCACTTTTAAAGGTAGGTACCAAGCAATTGACATTATATTTTTCTCCAGGATGCCGCCAAACTCTTGGTTGTCGTGATAACTTCCCAATTTGCACACTCGTCTCGTCAGAAAAAATTATATTTCCCCAATCATAAATGGTTTTACCTTCATTTTCTTCACACTAGCTAACACGAATATGCGCATGTATATCTGAGATATACGGTTTCTTTGCTGCGATACGGGAATGAAGTATACAGGAGCATCCTACAATACATTTGCGACAGTCGATAAACTACAGTTAAGACCTAAATTGCACGGAGTGGTAAATGTCGTTTTTCGTTAACTTTACATAGGAGTAACTCTTTTTGGTGGTTATTAAGGACAGGTGGTCTTCCAAAACGTGGTAAGTTTTCACTTTTTCCTGTTTTTATACTTCTTAATGAAGTGCCGTATTGTTGTGGGGTCACGTCCAAGCATTTTTGCGATTTGGGGTGGACGGCATTTCTTCACAATAATATTATTAAAATGTTAACGTTAACGTATCGTAAAAAAGTAAACAGAACGTCAAGTTTGTTAAAACTTGATAAATTTTGTTACACATGCAAATTGGGCGTTACTTTTTGGGGTACTGTACATACACACGCCTCGTATGGTGGTTACTTTAGATCACTAAATTGCTAACCGTACAGTTAGGTCGTGTTCAGTGGATAAATTGTCTAAAGTAACTGCAGTGTTTTATAACGATGGGACTTGTTGTACAACTTGTCGGTGATATCAGGGCATAGGCTACGCTTCTTCAATTGCACCTGTATTGCCTTGATTTGCACCATACACCATCTTTTGTCGTTACTTAAATTGTTCGATAATTCTTTTAAGATGGCTGTTGTGTAACAGCTCTTTTCCAAGCAATAAGAGTTTTCTTGTTATTCTGAAGTAGCGGAAGTTCGACTCCAATTAAGACCATGACATATATTATATAATATATATTTACTATATAGTCCATCCCCTCCCATCCAGGTAAAATATTTGAAACATGTGATTTGTACTGTCAGTACCATCTCCTCCTGGATATATGTCACAATTTTTAGGAATGTTATCACTTTATTTTTCCCTGATTGAAATTATTAAATATTAATATAATTATTTCTCTTTAACCTTCTAATCAAAATTAATTAGCATAAAATTTGAAAAGTTTCCTTATTACAAAAAATATAATTATTTTATAGAACCATGGTTTGAACTGCATTGTTTGAGATAGATTTAAACCATTTCAAACCAAATAAACTGCAAATCACTCCTAGTAGCAATCGACTTTCACACATATAAATCATAATCATTATCTCGTTATTTCAAAGTTTTGCACATAATCACTTAATCCATTTTAGAAAGTGAACTAAAAGGTGAAATCTAATATTTGAACACTTATCGTTATAATTCTAGTGAATCAAAAGTTGAATTGCTGCAGAAAGTGTTTAGTTTGTAATCACAAATTACGAATATAATCTTATTAATAGGACATATAATTTTGTTTTAATGTATATTATATAGTTAAATATGAATATATTAGTGATTGCTAGGATAAGAAACTAACAAAACATTATCACGCTTTTTGATAAGATCCTTGGAATAAATAAATTTATGTTAAACACAAAGATAGAAACCATAGCAAAATTTTAATAGAACATAACGATAGGTAGCAAAGTGCTATATTAATTTTTAGTTTTTCTTATAAGACATTTCATTCTTTATCCTTATTGGTTTGTGCCAATAAGACAAATTTTTGATCAACCCGGCAAAACAAATCCGACACAAGGAAATGAAAAGAGTCGGAAAGGCAATTTTACATATAATTTTGACTCCAGCTCTAGTCCTAATCCTAACCTTTAAATTAATCTTTAACAATAACCTTTATTACCGTAGAATTTTTCCGGACTTACACAAATATCACGTGAACCACCTTTTTTGCATCCAATATTACGTGATCAATTTCATCCAATTAGAAATCAATTTTCCTGTATCAAATCAGAAATTTATATATTAATGATTTTAAGGGTAATGTTAATGGTTGGTTTTAAGGTTAGGGCTAGGGTTAGGGTTAGAGCAGAGGTTAAAATTATATGTAAAATAGTCTCCCCGACATTTTTAATTAATGTTCCAGGCTAGATTTAAGCATCTGTTTGTATTTTTTCATTTTATCTTGTGTCGGATTTGTTTTGCCGGATTGAGCCAAAATTTATGCATTCTTATTGATTACAGATAAAAAAAAAATGCGTCTAACCAGCACTAGACACCAGAGTGATTTTAAAGAGGTGATTATATGAAGGTATGCTTAGTTGTGACTATATATGAGGTGATTATATGGAGTTATGATTGTACATAAAAGGGGTCGGAATTTAACAACAAATCCCAACTGTTTTTTTCCACATTTCAACAATGGCGTTTAATAACAACAATAACAGCAACAACAACTATCCATCTCTCAAGCGCGAAGGAGCTTTTTATGATCCTTCGTGGTCTCAACTTGCAGTGGCTTTTGGAACTTCATACAGAGAAGCACGTCAAATAGTTGCGTCTTCACCATTCCAACAACAACTAGCATCAACACAGAGACAAACACTACAACTATCAACTCAATCGTTAGCACCACAACCGCAAGGACAGCCTCCTCAATTGCCACCACCACAACCACAACACGCTGTTCCTCTCCGTTCACGAGCAGCGCGAAGAGAGCCTGTCCGACGCAGCGGAAGAATAGCAGAAATGAATAAGCGAAGTAATGAACGTCCCTCAAAACCATCGCTCGCCAACGCATCGCCGAATTATTCAAACACTAAGATATGCCGATGCGAGCATTATTGTTCCGAAACCACCACGTTGTCAATATATTGCTCTTGAATATCAAATTTAACACATTTTTCAGCAAAAAGTCTATTTTTACTACATAATAACTTTACATATTATATTTTTTCATCGGATGTTGAAGATCAAGCCTCCTTAGTATTGCAACTTATGAAGATCCTGAAACCTTGCCATCTATTACGAAAACAGACAAGGAAAATTAAAAAAAAAACACACATTTAAATCGTATATTAAAGCAGCTTAGCATGAGTATAATCTTGCCATTTGTTACAAAGAACAATTAAAGCTGAACCAAGAATGGTATATCCGTCTGTTATGAAAACGAACAATTAAGAATGGATACGATCATTATCACCACAACTATCAGCTCAATTGCAATCGCGACCGCCACAAATGCAACCTCAATTGCCGCCACCACTACCATAACACGCTGCGCCTCTCCGTTTATGAACTACGCGAAGAGGTCCGACGCAGTGAAAGAATAACAGAAATGAACGTCCATCAAAAACCATCGCTCGCCAACGCATCTCCGAGTACTTCAAACACTAAGATATGCACTATTGTTCCGAAACCGTCATGTTGTCGATATTTTGGCTTTTGAACTCGTATTTTTACTACATAATAAACTCATCACGCCTATTTTGGATATTGAAGATCAAATCTATGAAGATCCTGAATTATAATATAACTTTACCATCCGTTACGGAAACGGACAAGGAACAATTAAAGATGAACAAAAATTGTAAATTAAAGCAATTGAGCATGAAAACCCTGAAGTATAATCTTGTCATCTGTTACAGGAACAATTAAAGATGAACCAAGAATGGTATATTAAAGCAGCAAGGTCTAAAAAACCTGAAACACAATATAATCTTGCAATCTGTTATGAAAACGAACAACAAAAGCATTTGAGTTGATGTGCTCATTGTCAGCACAACTATCAACTCAATCATAATCGTAATCGCGACCGCTAGCACCATAACCACAAGTGCAGGCTCAATTTCCGCCACCACTACATAACATGCTACGTCTCTCCGTTCACGAGTAGCACGAAGAGGGCCTGTCCGACGCAACGAATGAATAACAGAATGAACATCCATCAGAAACCATCGCGAAAACTATTGTTTAGAAATTTTGTCGATGTATTGGCTCTTGAATATCAAATTTTTCAGCAAAACTCGTTAATGAACAATTCGGATATGATGATGATATTTTTTCATCACACCTACTTTGGATATTGAAGATCAAACCTATCGCTATGATCCTAGTATAATATAATACCGACTTTTCACACATCAAGCACACGATAAAGACATTAACGCGATTTCAATATCAAATTATTTACCGATGCCTCACAAGATAAAACAGGCTGAATCGTTAGAACTTGTAATGGCCATAGTCATGGTGTTTGGTCAGAACTGTTCTCGCCGGTTGATTATAAATACTGGTTACGAGTTCAGGAGATAAGCCTATAAAACATTAATTATAGTATATTATTGAATTATTCGAACTCCAGTTCCTATTCGACGGAAAGAAAAGAAAGAAATATGATTTTCAATGTATAATTCACAAAGCTTAGTATAAATTCTTGCTTTTTTTCGATTGCTGCTCCATCGCCTCAATCGTACAAAATTTACGGCCGAATCTGCCACAAACTTCTCTCAGTATGGTTGTCGAGATTGTTGACACATTTGTTAATTTTAATTGTCCACACTTTCACGAAACTATCTGATCCGGTAGATATTGATTGTTGATCGAAAGCCAGAAATGAGACTATAGCACAGTAATTAATTGTGAAAGAAGACACAAAAAGCATTAATAGGATCCAGTACAATAATTGCAACTCTCATCATCGATCAACTAGAAAACTATTCGTGACTAGCACACCAATGCGCGACATTCGCGAACAGCTCAGACAAGCACGATTTCATCGGAAAAGATTGTGGAGATAAAAGAAATAAAAGATGTACCGTAAACGCGGCATAAAGTATCCCGTATATATTGAACCTGGCCTGGGTATATTAGGTTACAATAACGATCATACATGTATTTATTCGTGATATATCAGATTTCCCAGTCGATTAAATAAGTTAAACTAACAATATCGATATGATAGTAACGGTAATAGTCAAGAACACCAGTGTTTAGAACGAAAATATTGAAATTCTTTGTTAATTTATTAATTATAGATACTCTTTCATGATACCCATCAATTTCGTCGATTTTCTTTATAATCGACTTCCTACCCATTTTTTCATTATTATCATAGTTCCAAATCAATATCTTCATCAATCTCATAATTTTCAGCACCTAATTCGATTTCTTTGTTTCAATATTAATATTTCTTCGTTATTATTATTGTTCCTTCTCCACCACCATTATCATCGTATTCAATATCTTCGAAAATATAATTAGCATTTTCTCTATATCGAGTTTGAAATGTTGCAATATTTAAATGGTTTTTTTAATAAGTATAGAATCGACTTGTTCCCATGCGATTACTACCCATTCTGCAACAAAATTATATGGCAAACGTGAATCCGGCCAGTAGGCGTTAATTTTTAATATTATATTATAACATTTTTAATATCAAGAGGTTGTACTTTTGATGTTAATTCTCCAGGTTTAAATACTAAAAAATTAATAACCTTGCCTCTTATATTATAATATGTTTTATTTATCCAATAATTTCTAATGCAAAATATAAATCGAACATTTTTTTTTCTTAATATGGTGTAGGAACTCTTAAATCGACAATATGTTTCATGTTAAATATTCTATCAACTTCTTAGCTAAGAAGTAAATCCAAAATTTGACCGGTAATCTTATCAAGAAAGTCATTAACTATAATATCACCGGCTAAATTTTGTATTTATTTCTTGAAAGTTGATAGAATTTTTAACATGAAACATATTGTCAATTTAAGTAATGTTAATGATAAAACATTATCACAAAAATGGGAATATGTACATGTATCATCACAAGTACGTACGTATATTTTAACTAACATTATACGAAAATATCATGTATTTTTTCACTTCAGCTTTTTAGGATGAGGCTAATTATATGGTAGAAGTTGTACGCCATTACTTCCATCAGGAACTGTATGAGTATAATAAAAGATTTTACAAAATGCATATACATGTGTAAATGTACGTACATACGTACTGTTAATTATTTACATGTACATATATATTGCAAAAATTATTCTAAAACCTTGATATCAATATGTATGGTGCAAGAACTCTTAAATTGACAATATGTTTCATAAATTCTATCAACTTCTTAACTAGGAAGTAAATTCGAAATTTAACCAGTAATATTATTTTGAAACTTGTATACCAACCCTTTTCTACCTGTGTATCGATATGTTGTTATTTTTAAACAGTCGCATTTTATTGAAATAAGAAGATTTTTATATGCATCAAAGAGCAAAGTTAATAAATCTACAAAGAATGTCTTACGCAAGCCTTTGACCAAAAATAAAAGTAACGCCCAAGATCTCATGGATATTCAATGTGCTATGAAATCGATATCACTTAAACCGTCAGGTTTAGCAGGCAAATTTGCCTGCTAAAATTCTATAAATTTATATCTAATATATTTTTACCAAAAATTAAATATGTTAAAAAATAGTTTGTTTAATCTTAGCTTTAATTATATATTATATAATAGTTGTTTTCTTTTTTTAAATAATTATAAAAAATTATAGTTGTCTATAAATTAAAAATAAGCAATTATAAAAAATTTTTATTATTGATCTTAAATTTTAAAAATATTTTCTAATAAGTTACAGAATTGATTAAAAAATCAATCAAATATTTTGAGCAATTGTAAATTAAAATTACAAATTTTATATTATATTGATTAAAAATATGCTATATTTTATTTTAGCTTAGAAAAAGGGAAGATTAAGCTTATAAAAATTAGGAGTAAATGTACAAAAATAATCTAAAAAATTTTAGTGGGCAAATTTGCCCACTGGATGGTTTAAGGGATAAACTTATTTTATTCTGTTATAATTGATAGATCTGAAATTATTAAAATTATTAACATTGGGTGCTATCTAACATTCCAAGGAACACAATTCTGATATCCCATATGTCTGACAAACGAAATCCCAAAAATCCAACATCCTGAAACACCAATATCCTGAAAATTCAAAATCCTGAGAAGCCACTATCCATAAAACACAACTTCCTGAAAAGCCAACTTTCTGAATATCTAATATCCTGAAAGACCAACATTCCGAATGCCAACATGCTCAACATCCCGAATATTAATATCCTGATAGTTCAAAATCCTGAAATGCTAAAAAATTATAATTCAAAATTCCAACTGTAAAAGCATAAAATTGCATATTCTATTTATATTATGCTATATTAATTGTTATAAAGTTTTACAAATAAAAAATAAATTGGATCTCAAACTACTTCTGAATCTGAAAATACTTATTCTAATACTAAATTTGATTTTAAGCTTGGGATTAGAATTAGATTTAGAGTAAAGAACAAGTTTATATATAAAATTTTCTTCTGCCATTTTTTATTAGTGGATCAAGCTAAATTTACTCAAATTTTTACAATTTTCATTTTCTTGTTTTGCCAGTTACATTCTTATTTGTTAGTAATCAAGAATACAAATGTCAAATGCTAAATATTATTACAATTAGATTATAAAATACATTAATTTCATAATTTGTAATATTTTATGAAATTATAAAATTCATGTAAAGAACTTAGAACATTTCACAATTTATTTATATATTATTAATTATTGTATTCATATATTTTTAATTTTTCTATCTTGTACTTCTATACTTTTTATACTTTTTCTACTTTGTACTCTTATATTTTATATTTTTCTACTTTTCTACTTCATACTCTTATACATTTTATATTTTTTCTATTTTTTCTACTTTGTATTCTTATATTTTTTATACTTTTTATATTTTTATATATTTATATTTTTTATACTTTTATATTTTTATACTTATTTATTTCAAGTAGATATAATTTAACCAATCAAAATTCTTTGAGATTTATACTTTTTCTCCTTTATTTTTCTATTTTTCATATTTAGTAAATTGGAATTCTATTTTTAATTAGTATAATTATTTTTATATCTTTTCTTGTTTTTAATATTATATTTATATTTTGAAGAAAATGTATAAATATGAATTATAGTTGAGCTCTAACTTAATATATCAGAACTTGAAAATAAATAATATAATAAAACAAATAATTTTTAACACTTAAACAATTTGTCTTCTCCTCTTAAAAATACACTTCAAATCTTATGAACAAGTAGTTTTGAGATTATATTAAGTTAATTAAAATATTAATATTGAATTATTAAATTAATATTTTGTTATTAACTAGTCTTTTAATATTTTTGTTATAATTGAATTATTTTATAATTATAATATATATTATAATTATTATATTTACTTATTTTTTTATTTTATAATACTATATTTTTATAATTTTATAATTTTATACTTTATATTTATTTATTTTGAGTAAATAATTTTAGTCAATTAAAAATTTTTAAAACTTATATTTCTTTATTTATTTTTTTTTATTTTCTTTTTTCATATTTAATAAATTGAAATTCTATCTTTAATTAGTATATTTATCTTTTATATTTCTTTTTTATTTTTAATATTATATTTGTATTCATAAAAAATATATAAATATAAGTTATATTAAAATCTTGACTTAACATATTAAAACTTAAGAATAAATAATATAATAAAACAAATATTTTTTAATATTTGAATAATTTAACTTTCTCTTTCAATTACAGTGACAATTAAAAATAATACAATATTCAAATTATAATTTTTAAATTATTGTATCTCTTTCAAATTTAAAAATATCAAATTATGATTAATATAATTAAATAACATAATGTTATAGATTGATATATTATAAATTCAATATGAATTATTAATTTATTTTTTTTCTAAATTCAAAAAATATTTGAAATTTGGTGTTGTATTATTTTTGTTCTTTTTCTTTTCAGATTAAATGACATAATTAAAGTTATATAATCTTAGTAACACATATCAATAATCATCAATCTGTTTTTTTCTTTT